ATTTTTCATAATAATATGTGGTTGTTATGTACACAACTACTTACACGTACATGGATTCAGGCCGTGTGCTTGTGTAATTTTACCAATCTTAGTAAGAAACGCTTATGGAAATTTTTCTTATTCCATACCTGTATTAATTAGTTTTTCGACTAATACATGAGTATGAATACTGTCATGAATGAAATGGGAGAAAAAATATGTTCCCCATTTCTGGAGAGAGGAATTGATTCACGAGGTTCAAACGACAAATTTATAATTGGCCCAAAAAATAAAGTTGAAAATTATAACTTCAAAATCTTGAATTCAAATTGTGTGTGAAGCTATCGATACTTGATGTGAGTTATTTTGAGAAAAATTTTTTTTTTTTAAGAAATTAGACAAGGGTGAGGGTACCAGAAATATCTTGATGTTTAAGTTAATAATTTTTTTTCTTATATAGTGGATTTGAGTACTCTTATACTAGTAAAGTTAAATAAAATTTTTTGTTTCGCCTTTTGAAAAAAATATAAAAACAATCTATTATGAATTGGAATTTTTTTTTTTTGCCCGAAAATTGGGACTGATGAATTAATTAATTATTCATCTATTATTATGTTCCGTTCTTATCTTTTCGGCTCTGCACCATATGGATCATAATGCGTGCCCATACATTTTTTTTTTTTTCATTTTATGGTAATGAGTTCGCCTATTCAACTCGAGCTCCGTTTAATAAACTTCTCAATTTCATGCTTGAAAATATAATTGAGCTCAAGTTCAAATATGATTGAAAGCTTGCGAGCTACTTAAGTTTTAATTAAATAAAAAAATATAATTAATTAATTAATTATATATTATATTATATTAATATTTTATTCTAATCTCCCAAGTTATTTAAGTTAATGAGCCAAACTCGAGTTTTATCTAAATAAGTTTGAGCTTGAACTCAAACTTAACACTTTTGAGTTTCATTAAAGCTAATTACTGTAGCTTTTAATTTGAATGTTTATATGTTCAGCTCGGCTCAACTGATTTACAATTTATGTTAGGGTGTTCTCACAGCAACTTATTAATATGCAATCCAATCCTTCGGGTCTATAGTTAATAAAATAAAGAACATACCTGCAGGCAAGCAAAAGGGACCATGTAATAATACTCCGTATATGTTATATACATGTCCTCAAAGTGCATGCAAATGTTTGAAAGACGTGTTTGAAGGATTATTTTTCAGAACCGCATAGAATCCCGTGGAGATTCAAAATCTTAAATTTTCAGAAAACTTATGTTATTCACTCCGTCAAACCTTCAATTTCAAGGTCCACCTTTAGAATTCTTCCTCCCCTATCACCTCTAGTTTATTTTCTCTCTCTAACTTCATTTCCCCCTTTTTTTAAAAAAAAAAAAAAAATTCTCCAAACGCGTTTTTTGGGTTTTTCAAAATTTTTTATGAGACCTACGTCTTCTCTTTTAATTTAAACTATTATAAATACTTAACACCAACCCTGATCAGAATTACATCAACACTATTAATATTTGAATTTAAATCATTTGAGTTTTCTGCGATTTCTCAGAGAAGCTATGCATCGTTCCCAGTCCCTTACGAAGAACTTCTGCAATAAAATTCTTCGCCTCGACAACCACGGACACGAAATAGAAAAATTTTCAAAACAGCTACATCGCCCCTGCGACGTCTTCATAAACCATCGAGGAATTGATACTAAGAGAACCATTTCTGGGTTGCTCCACAACCATCTTTACCGCCTAGGGCTCAACCCGTTTTTGGATAACAAGAACATGAAGCCCGGTGATCGGCTATTCGACAAAATCGATGATGCTGTTCGACACTGCAAGGTCGGTGTTGCTGTCTTTTCCCCGCATTATTGTGAATCATACTTCTGTCTACTCGAGCTGGCTCTGATGATGGAAACTAGAAAGAGGGTCATTCCAATCTTCTGCGACATGAAACCGTCTCAGCTCGAGGTTAAGGACAACGGGTCTCGTACGGTAACGGAGCTACAGCGGTTCGAGTGGGCCCTCGAGGAGGCAAGATACACCGTCGGTCTCACATATGACACATTAAAAGGGTTAGTATATATATACACTACTATAGCTTGAAATTTTCAGCGGTATGGGAACTATTGGAGGTACCTAGCTAGCTAGCTAAATGAGAACAGTATGCCCCTACCAAAATTATAGAATTTATATTGATGAATTTTCTGTTGATATCATATATAGGGATTGGTCTGAATTCTTGACGAAGACTACAGATGCAGTGATGAAGAACTTGCTGGAGGTTAATGGGATTGAAGAAGAAGAGTACATACGGATTATGAAGCTGATGTATATGAGGAATCCAAAAGCATATCGCTCAATATCGAGGCTTAACTGCTGATAAAAATGGTGTCAAGGCTTAATTAACTAATTGGGTGAATAAGCAAGATTTCTAATCAATTTTTATTTTTGCAAAGGAATTGAAGTGTTCTTCCTGCACTCTGGGCAATTTGAGATTAGTGTAGGATGAACAAATAAGTCAAAGTGATCACGCTGACCCAAAAAAAAAAAAAAAATCGAAGTGATCACTTATAGCTAGCTTGAACCTTCTGTAACAGTTTCTTCATTTCCATGAAGAATTCTTTTGTTTTTTCTATAAAAAATAAAATTTTTATTATTGAATAATATAAGCAATGTTCCAATACTAACATGTAACTTTAAAGTTCAAAACAAAATAGACCTCACGTCAAAGATAAACAAACATTTTATAAAACTCTTCAAACTCATTAACCATATATGGTTAATTTAAAGAAAACTTCAGCTACCTGCAAAAAGATGTGAATTTTGAAGCACTAGTTGCCAAATGCAAACACATACAACTCTTATTTCCCTTTTAATCCAAGGGAGAGTTTCTTGTCTGAATTGATCACTCAAGATTTCTGTCTTCATTCCCACCATATTGTTCATCTCTATATAAATTCTAAGGGCCATTTCTATGGTGGCAAGGATTTTAGAAGTTGGCTTTTCTTCCTTTTTGGGAGGTAAAATTCCTTCTCATGTGGGTTGTTGGGGATTTAGTCTCCCTCTAGTTTCTATTTTTGTCTTCTAAGTGGGGTGTTTCTTGATGGGAGTTTTGTTGCCGACCAATAGCACTTTTGGGGTGCAAATTTGGCGGTGGTTCGCAATAATGACATAGTAGCTTGAGGTGTGGTCTCTTATCAGTTGGATTCTTTCACAGAGGAGGAATGACCAATGAAAGTAACTAGCTTGGCAAGGCAAGGGGGGCAATGGCTTGGAGTAGAGAATGAGCCTAGGGTGGTTATGGCAGACGGTGGGTGGTGGTTGCTAATAGAGGCGATCCATTAAGGAATAAGACAATAGGCTGACACTTTTTGGGTTTGCCTAAAGTCAATGGGAAGGAGGCAGCAAGTTCCATGGGGTAGTGCGGAGTTTTCTTCAAAAATCTTAAATTTAATGGGGATTTAACTTGTTCAATAATTTAGAATGGTAATTTATCATTATTTTTTTTAAGGTGCAGATTTGCCCCTATTCTCCTATTTGAAGGGTGAATTTGGAGGTTTGGCCTTGTTTGTAATAATTTGCCTTAATTGAGTCTTTCATATGATGTTACATGTTAAATAATTGATGATTTGTCTTTATCGATAATTTAGAGAGGCAATTCATCTTTACATCTTTTTTAAAGGTGGATCTTTCTTACTCTCATATTTGAGAAACAGATTTAGAGGTTTTGCTGAAATTTTAAATATAATGGGATTCTATTCAATATCAATGACGTACAAAAGAAACTCAAGCGAGAAAAAATGGAAATTTTTATTATTCTCAATATTACTTGGTTTTGGTTGGGATTTTAATTATTTCATATACCATTAGGGATGTTGAATAGCATTTTAATTTAGATTTATTGACAATGAGAGTTTATAGTGGTGTTGGATTTTTTGGGATTTTCATGTACTTCTTATTTGGGTGGTAGACCAATTATAAGAGATCTTAACAAGTTGTTAAAAATCAAGAATTTCGGAGAGGAAGAAGATGGAATGAAAATCCAAATCCTATTAAATTGAAAATAAACTACTAGCTTTTAAATAGGTTTTACAAGATAACATTATTTAAAAGGATAATTAACCAATCTCATCTAATCTAATTTAAATTATAACAACCTAAAACAAATAAATAACTTAAACTTCCTAAATTATAGAGATAATGGCTAAATAATAGGATCTAATTTCTAACAATCCCTCCCTTCAGTTTAAACAAATCTAGAAAACACCATGTCTGCAATCTGGAATCTGTAGACCCTCCCTCAAACTAAATTCTGCATGCTGCAAACACCAAGTAACTTTCTCAGTTTTGAAAAAGTTGCTATTTTGAGGGGTTTTGTGAATATATTAGCCATTTGATCTTCTGTTCTGCAATAACTCAGCTCAATTGTTCCATTTTTTACCAAGTTGCACAAGAAATGATACCTCACATGTATATGCTTGCTTCTCCCATGCAGAACTAGATTTCTAAAAAGCTTGATAGTTGAACTATTATCACAATAAATTGAAGTGGCCTCATGTTGATTTAGCTCAAGTTCTTCTAGAACTCTTCTCAACCAAATAGCTTGACAAGCACAAGAAGTCGCTGCCACATCCTCTACTTCTGTTGTGGACAAAGTCACAATGGACTGTTTCTTTGAAGACCATGAAACTACCCCAGATCCCAACATAAAAACAAACCCAGAAGTGCTTTTTCTATCATCCAAATCTCCAGCATAATTATTATCTGTAAAATCTGCGAGATCTATCTGGTTACCCTTCTTGCAGAATAGTCCAATATCTACAATTCCACATAAATACCTAAGAATTCTTTTAGCAGTCTACAAGTGCAACTCCTTTGGATGCTCCATATTTCTGCTAATCAGACTTATTCCATACATTATGTCTGGTCTTGTTGCTGTTAGATACATCAAACTTGCAACAATCTGCTTATACAGTTTGTTGTCCACAGATCTACCTCTTAGATCTTTCACGAGCTTTACACCTTTGTCAACTGGTGTAGTGATAGAATTGTAGTTCTTCATTTGAAATTTGTCTAGAACTTCCTGCACATATTTTTTCTGACAAACAAAAATTCTAGAATCTGACTATACTACTTCCAGACCAAAAAAATAATACAACAAACCCAAATCTATCATATCAAATTCAAGCTTCATGGACTGCTTGAACTTTTCCAACATGCCAAAATCATTCCCATTATAAATTAAATCATCAACATATAAGCATATTATAATCAATTTACCTTCATCTCCAAATTTGATGTAAAGTGTATGCTCATAAGGACACTTTTGAAAACCTTCCTTCAAGAAATAAGCATCAATTCCACTATACCAAGCTCTAGGTGCTTATTTTAGTCCATATAATGCTTTTTTCAATCTGTAAACCTTATGCTCAAAGCCAGATTTCACATAACCAGGAGGTTGATCAATAAATACCTATTCTTGTAGATTTGTATGCAGGAAGGCCGATTTCACATCAAGCTGGTAGATCGGCCATGAGTTCTGTGCTGCCAAAGAAATCACCAATCTAATGGTGTCCATCCTTGCAACTGGAGCAAAAACTTCTTAATAATCAATTCCAACTCTTGCTTATAACCCTTTGCCACCAAGCGAGCTTTGAATTTGTCAACCTCCCCATTTTTTTTGAGCTTTGTCTTGTACATCCACTTAACACCAACTGTCTTGTACCTTTCTAGAAGATCTGTCAACTCCCAAGCCTGCTTTCTTTCAATAGAACCAATTTCTTCTACCATGGCTTTTTGCCACTTTTCTTCTTGAACGGCCTCTTCATATGTGAATGGATCACAATCTGCAAATAAAGCAAAATGAGTGACTGGAACATCATCTTGAGGTAGATCTATTACCTTATAATCCTCCAACCATGTTGGTCTTCTCTTTTTGTGTTGAGGTCACGAACTAGTTCCAAATTCCAGTTCTGGTGTTGTTGGCAAACTTCCTTCAGTACTAAGTTCTGTTGTTGTAGGTAGACTTTCTTCAGCTGCCTGTCTTGAAACTTTGAGATCTGCTGAAGTTAAACCTCCATTCTGCTGTGTCTGACCTTTTGAGTTCTACACAATCAGATCTTCTCCATTTTCAAAATCTGTAGGAATTTGTCGCCTAGATTTTTTTGTCTAAGACCAGGTGCTTGCTTCATCAAACACTACATCACGGCTAATGATGATCTTCTTGGTTAAAGGATTGTATAATCTATAAACTTTGGACTGATCACTAACACCAAGGAAAACACACTTTTCCCTTTTGTCATCAGGCTTACTCCTTTTCTGATCTGGCACATTTGCATATGCTATGCACCCAAAAATTCTGAAGTAGTCAATAGCAGGTTTGTGTCCACTCTAAACCTCTTCTGGCATCATATCTGGAAGTGGAGATGTAGGACTTTTGTTCAAGATATGAACACTCCAATTAACTGCTTCTAGCCAAAACTCCTTAAGCAAGCCACTCTTTGACATTAAACTTTACACCATATTCATGATTGTGTGATTCCTCCTCTCACATACACCATTCTGCTAGGGTGTGTAAGCTACTGTAAGTTGTCTTTTAATACCATTGGATTCACACAAATCTGCAAATTCCTATGAGTTAAACTCATCACCACAATTTGTACACAAAACCTTTACAGATTTGCTAGCCTCATTCTCAGCCAAGACTTTGAAATTTTTAAAGGCTGTTAAGGCTTCTAAATTGGTTTGCAAAAAATACACCCATGTTTTGCGACTCTAATCAATGAAAAAGGTAATAAAGTATTGTTTACCTCCATTGGATGTTGGATTTATGGATCCACACAGATCAGAATGAACTAGATCTAGCACTCGCTTTGCTCTCCAAGATCTGCCTTTAGGAAAGCTGTCATAGTGCTATTTACTGACCACATAGATCTCAGAAATCTCTGAAGGAGAATCAAAATGAGGAAGACCATTTACCATCTTCTTTTGCTGTAAGGCTTTCAACCCACCAAAATAAAGATGTTCATATCGGCTATGCCATAACCAAGCTATGTCCTTCAATCTGGCAAATAAACATCATAGAATTATGGTCTTCAAGTATAATGGAAACAACCTATTTCCTATCATCTTGACCTTTGCAATCAAGCCAAGCTTTGAATCACGAACTTGGCAAACTCCATCTTTAATCAGGATTTCATATCCTTTCTCTTGAAGCTATCCTAGTAAGCAAATTCAACTTCAAATCTCGTACATACAAAACATTCGCAATAGTTTGAATTGAATTGTCTTTGGCACGAATGGTTACCTTTCCCTTTCCCTTGATTGCAAGAGTGGAATTATCACCAAATTTCACCTTGTCTTGAAAAGACTCATTCAGATCTAAAAACACAGATTTGTCTCCACACATATGGTTGCTACAGCTAGTATCTAGATACCACTCATTCTTCTTGCTAACTTTTTTAGGATGACAGACCATGAATAGAGAGGAAACATCATTCTTCTCATTGTGTTTTACAAAATTAGAACT